TGGAGCGCTTTTACAGTTTCTTGTGTAACACAGTAGATAATTCATGCTATTTTATCAATTTAAAGGGTGGTGGTTGTTGCACAGCGCGCGTTCGAATTTCATTTAAACAAACAATGTATTTTACACGCGTCGCTATGGACGCGACGTGACGACCACCGCCCTTTAATGATAGCTCTGGATCAGATGTTTTTTAATAATCATTTGTCAACTTTAAAAAACAAATCTGTGTATCTGTATTTGTCATCTTTAAGTTAATTATATAACTGCTTCTTTATGTGATTTTTTTCTATAGATTTTATATTTGTGTGTTTATGACTTTTTAGGGTCGTCACCCGCGCACGCGCGGGAATTGAGCTCCAAGCGATGATAACAAGACACACTAAAAACGAAAACGGCAGACGCTTGTTTCTCTCGTTCGTTTGTATCCGATCTTGATACAGTATTCTGTTGCCATGCGCCAGCAGTCAATTGTGACGTCATTCTCCCGGACTGAATATATTTCGTCATGTAATGTTTTACGTCATGTATATTTTCTTTATTTGCAGATTGTGAACAAGTAGCGTGGTAAGCACATCGGAGTGATGCGTTTGTAGCCATGGCAACCATCATACCGTCGACACTAGAAAGAATAGATGAACAGTTCTTGACGTGTACCATTTGTTTAGAGCGCTACAAGCACGCCAGGGTGTTGCCATGCCAACATACGTTCTGTGAGAAATGCCTGACGTCATGGGTGAAACAACATGGCGGTCTGAACTGTGCGGTGTGTAGACAACCATGGCAGGCATGGGCTTCCAATATACAACAACTGCCGCCGAGTTTACTGATTAACGGTATCGTGAGACTATTAGAAGAGCGAGATTTGAAACGCGTCAATAGGTACTGTATAAGGGGTGTCGCGAAACTGTTGAGGGTGTCGCAAAACTGCTGATAAGTGTCGCGAAACAGTTGAGGGTTGGTCCCAACATTGTTTAGTACGTGAATAAATGCAAAATGAATAAAATAAAATAAGTACTACAAATGGCGGATATTTGTTCAGCACAATTCAGTGAGAAGAGTTTTGTAAGAACGTCAGCAAAGGTTTTAGTTGTTCACCAGATGAGATAAGAAACCCTTGTCATGAAAAGTGAGCGTAATGACACACACTTTCGGAGTCAAGTTTATATTTAAAGCGGGAGAGTTGTCACCTGCGCATGCGTCAGATGGCCATAGCGTATGTTTACAATCAAGCGTCTACCCATGAGCCTTTGCGTGTGTTGTTTTCGTCGCTTGGGACTCAATTACCGCACATGCGCAGGTGACGACTTCCATGCTTAATAGTTTGCTATATACATTTGATGCTGGCGGTAGTCGTCGCGCCACGCATGCGCGAGATATATGGGTCTCGTATAAACAAAGATGGCGACTTTGACTGTGTGCAGATCAACGAGTACAAACTGAGACGATTCCAAGCTTTAATTAGGAAATTTTTAGGTGATTCAAATGTATCGAAGGATTCACCGGCGGTAATCGTTCCAAGTCGCGCCCAGGTCAAACCTTATACTTGTGATTTCCATTTGAAGAGCATGTTGAATTGTGGGAAAATCAATGTTTATCAACACAAATGTCGCACATACGCAGCGCAACGACCACCGCGCTTTAAGATCAATATTTCGGCATTTAGCTATACATAATAGGACATTAAAGTTAAAAAGCAACTCATTCGTGAGATCTCGCATTGAACTATTTTGAGTTTGCATAACCCCCATAGGTCATACCTGCACACATCCAGCCTCCTACTTGATACTTCTAGATTGAGTCTTACAAAAACTTCATGTGTGCTCCGATCGAATAATTTCATGAATAATTCATTACATGACGTAGCGATTAAGGATATCATTCGATATATTTATTCGTTTATTCCCTACTCAACTTATTGTTTTATGTTTTATTCAGAATTTCCGTTGGTAAATTAGTTCGACGCAAGTTACCCACTGCGTGTTTACCTTGGTATGATTATCTCGACTATAAACAAGTGGGGACAGTCGGATTAGACGTCACATGGTTGGACCTTATACAGGTGAGCTAGAATCCACGTATATTTATTGCAATGACCGTCTTTCCGGTTTGTTGGTTCCCGGCGTGCATTACGAACATGCAAAGTGTTTCCGGGTCAGTGCCGAGACATAACAAACGGTAGTGTGCTACGCATCAATTCGTAGTAGGTTTTTCCTGTAACCAATAGCACGTGCAATATTTAAGGACTGGGCACGGCTTTTGCGGCCAGGGGTCGGAAGGCGGATACACGCGAGCTTTTGAGAGGGTGCATTAATTAGCAATACGACAGTAAGTCGCAAAAGCCCTATCCAGAGGTACCTTAGAGGTTCCATTACAGTTAAATGGAATTGTGCGAGCTGATGCGTTTTCGTTTATGTCAATTCTTAATTATTGTTTTCATTTATTTAAACGTTGACAGTGTGGATTGGTGCGTACTTGCGAATATTGGCAGATTTTGCCCCATTAAAATAAATTTATGTATCAGACAGCTAGTTGTAGCTTATGTGATCTATGTTTTATAAAGACGAAACATAACAGCGAAACAATATACTGGTTGCAAGTGCGCATGCGCGCCGCTTTAAACAGATTGCTCAAATATGGCCTCATGGAACCTGGCGTTTTGGGGGAAAACATTGAACAGCTTGCTGATCGCGTTTCTCGTAAATTACGATGCCGGGAAATGCAAGATATATGATAACAATGGATTGCATATTTCATATTCTATTGTTTTATTTACAGATATCTTTGCTGATATTTGGTATCGGGGCACTGATATGCATACTATTAATCCTAACTGTATGTCTTCTCATGTTGTTTGGATCACTTATGCTGAAACTGTTCGCGATCATACTCAATTTTTTGACGGAGACTACAAACTTTTGCTGGACTGTTTCTACGTTGATATTTAACTTGGCGCTGTCTGTAACGCTGGGTATGGGTACAGTGTGGATGGTGCTGTTCGTTGTGCTCAACATAAAGAAATCCATTCGACAACTTGTCAATGCAGCAGGATGAGACATGCGCAGTTGTGTCACACTCAGTACATGCGCAAGTACATGACGTTAAGACATTACGTAGTTATGTCACGTAAAGGAGCATGCGCAGATATATCAGGTCAAGACGCGTGCGATGCTTTTCACTTTGAAGATTTGTGTGTTTTTGTACTTGTGAAGTTACAAGAATGAATAAGTTTTTTAGCTCAGCTGTCGACTTTGTCGAGCGGAGCTTATCATATGAGTGATTGTCCGTCGTCCGTCGTCCGTGTCAATGTTTTACTTTTTCGACTTCTTGAAAACTACAAGCCTGAATGCTTTGATACTTGGTGTATATGTACCTTGGGTAGACCTCTCCCAGATTTGTTCATTTCATGATCATATCTTCAATTGTCTAATTTTGGTGAATATTTTTGTCATTTTTAGTAAAAAGTGATATTTTCGACTTCTTGTTAAAAACCGCAAGTCCAATTGATTTGATATATTATACATACCGGTATAGGTACTACATGTGGACCTCTCTCAGATTTGTTCATTTTCTAATGATATCTTCTGTTCTTTAATTGCCATGTGCATTGCTAACAGCGGAGCTATCTCAGCCGACAGGCTGCTTGTTTGGGTAGCATTATCAAAACGTATTTAAAAAAAATACCAAATATTATCTGAAATCAGATCTCGATAAAGCGGGGGGGGGTGTCGTCACCTGCGCATGCGGTGGACAGCCGTAGTGTGTTGTTGTTTGCAGACAAGCGTCTATCAAAAGCCTTTGCGTGTTTAGCGTGAGTTATTATCGTCGCTTAGGAGTCAATTCCCGCGCGTGCGCAGGTGACGACCTCCTCGCTTTAAATATTGTGAAATTATTACTGTTATTATTATCATTTATTTTGAAACTTTTCAGTCTAAGCAAAACATTTTGCCACCAATACGTTTGTCACTCTTCCAGTTATTGTTTTATTATTTCATTTATTTGAATCAATAAAGCCAAAAGTGGCTGTCCGACGGTCATCGAATTAGTGATGTATGTTTATTTAGTACAAACGAAGCAAAGAAGACGGAAAAAATACACAAATTTGTAATACGCGTACAGCTAGATAAAAGAAATGAATATATCGTAATATAACAATTGCAATAATCGCACTTTAAGCTTTAGTCCAATAGAAGAAATCAAAATCCGATTCGGGACGTGAAACTGTTTTTTTTTTTTTTTCGATGCATGTACATTATTTACTTAAAGCGGGGAGTCGTCATCTGTGCATGCGTCAGATACTTATGTTTCTATAATAAATATTGATTCGATTATTCGACCAGTCTAAAAAAATCCCCGGACGTATAGGGACTGACAGAATGACAATGCATGTCACTCATATGCCAATCAATTTGCACTGTGATCAGACGGAACATGGCCGACTGGCGGTCCTTTCTATTTATGTCGAAGACTTTACCAGATTAGATATTCTACTACCCCAGTAAGTGTAACTGCATATTTTGTGTCTATGGTTACATTCTACGATTATACCCTTAAAGGGGAACCGATACTATAAATAAGGGTCAAGATGGCCACCGTATTAGTATGCTAATCCGAACCAAGCAGCGAACATCGTGGCGGGAGCTCAGTGAAATATGCCATTTACGATGTTTGGAGATCAAACTGTGGTTCCAAATACATATCCACGGGGGCATGAATATGTACGCTAGCGATTACACTCGTCTTGTTGGGCTTTTGATGTATATATGTTGTTATTTTCGGTCGAAACGTGCCGCGACCAGTGAAAATCACGAGTTTAAAATGGTGGCTAATGTATGCAAAATTCCTGTCAATCACAGTTTGAGTAAACGAAAATGTAAATCCCCTAGATGTTTATTCAATCTACAAAGCTTGTTGGTTTAAAACAGCATTATCGTTACGTAGTTTGTCTATGTCTAACCACCTCCATGGTCCTAACCATCGGTAACACTGGGACATGACGATGTAAGACAGTAAACAATGTCAATAACATTAGGTTACGGGCTTTCGGATATCCATTGCAATAAATTAAATGTAGAAGTAGAAATCATTCGCGTGGTTTAAATTTTGCGGTGAGTCCAAAAGCGCGAAAATAAAACCACGCAAAATTTCCTGTCGAATGTAAAACACAATACCCAAGTCAAACAACACTAACTCCTGACCAC